TATAAATTTATTATTTGGTATTGAAGATACTTGTAAACCTCGGCAGTTCTGGAGCCCAACAACATAAATCTCGAGTTGAGTTCTAGACCTTGATCTCCCTAGGCTTGCACCTCAGAGGAAAACAAAGGAGAAGACAACTGACAATCACCAAGCATCTCCACAATGGCAACAGACGCCAACCTAGACACCAAACTCGTAATTCCCTCATCACACCTTCATCACACTACATAATCGCCGCCCAAATCAAGCAAACGTTACAAGATGCGAATATCTCGCCTCAAATACAGCAAAACTCGAGTTTAGATATAATACTGTAAAAAGTCCTCATTGTGGGGCAAGTAACCCAACTCGATCAACAATATTGTGTAATTTCTCCCCAGTTATCAATATATCCTCCCAAGAGCAAGAGACTCCTTTGAATAGTGGATAGCCAATTTTCGAGCTAGTGAACCACTATAATTCTTTGTGCGATTGATCCCATCCCTCTAAGACCTCATTCCAAGGAGTCTTGGAGCTCAGACTTACTAAGGTCAAAACACCCACTGTCCACATTCTGTTCAATTGCGCTTTACACATCATTAGGTATAATATAATCAATTTTTTAAATGATCGAATTGTGATGCCTCTAAAACCGGGAGTCTCGTTGACCTCCCGTCAACCAGCAAAAATACTCGTGGTTGTCGCATAACCCGACATCACGTCTATCACATCCCTGTAACCGGGATTACAACCCAAACGAGGATTCGTGTTTCCTTTAATTCATTTAATTCGATCGAGGTTCAACATACCCCAATGTATCTCATTTAAGGTCTATTTGTGTCATTGGAACCATAAAACACATAGTCCAAAAGCATGACAATGCATTCTTAAAATTTCAGATTTTTGAAAAACCTTCCGGAAGATTTCCCCGACCCTCAGGAAGATTTTGCTTACTAGAATTCTTTCTTCAAAAAAAATGTGTCGGCCTTCCAGAATATGTATTAAACTTTCGGGAAGGTTTCGCCCACTGTCCTAGTATTTCCTTGTCTTTGTCCAAACCTACCGGAAGGTTTGTTTCGACCTTCTAGAAGATTTTGCCTAGAATTGCCTGTTTCACCTATTTTTCATTTTTAATTCATCCAAAACACTTCCAAACTCATTCCCAACATGTACAATATAATTTTTCAAATTATACATGATTCATATGAGTCTATTACAACCCATTCCATATAATTTACATGCCAAAATGGAATTTAAACCAAAAGTTTTACAAAACTTCATAACAAAAGCCATATTCCGGCTTTTCTTCATCTTTGAGGCCCCGAATGTGAGTACTCTATCGATATGAACCCCGCACCTGAAATGTGTTCCCGTATAGGGTGAGCCAACGCTCAGTAGAGTATTTCCTACAAAGGCTACTCCTCAACCTATGTGCATATGCAATGTATTATGCAACAAAACACAACCAAAATCCATTCCAATAAACACTTAAGCAAGTCAAGATTGAAATCTAACATACCATGCCATGAAATGAGATGGTGCTCATTCATGCAATTTACCCGAGCCCTTCCCGGCTCCACAACACATGCCATGCCAATGTGTAATTACACCGAGCTTCTCTAGCTCCGGCTATCTACCTTCACCCCATGCTATGCAATGAGTATCAAAATCGAGCTCCCCAAGCCCCCGCCATTTGTGTTACACACCCAATGACTAACTAAAATCTCCGGGTCTTTCTTGGGGTGGGTATTTATGAACTTACACCAATGGTCACCTAACCGACACGGAATTCATGGACTCCCACAAACGGTTCCGCGCACACCGACACACTTTATGGGCTATCATACCAACGAAAGTACTTATCCAAATACTGGGTCTCTCATCCGAGGGATAGTCAAACCCTTCTTACTACCTCGACCTAAGCCTTTTTCATGCAACCATGCAATTTAGTCGGACATTCAATCCGACTTTCTCGAGCCCACCCATCATACACCTACGTGGTGTTTGATGCCAACCATGCACTCACGCCCATTAATTTGTGATGTCTACATGCATATGCAATGTAATGCATCATTGTTATTCCAACATCATGTCCACATGTAATGAATGCCACATGAGCAAAATTAACTACATTCAAACAAGTTCCCAGGCAATTTATATCTGGAGCATATAATTATCAAACTTTCTCATAATGCTATATACCAATGAACATACAATCATATTTCACTTTCAACAACAATTTACAAACATGTTATTACATATCATATGCTAACAACTTACTTAATTCTCATGGCATATAATAAACACATAACATGCCCACATAACCCTCAAATTTTATGGATTACATTGAGTCTAATTCACAACCCATTTTAAGGTAAAATTTTATTTTACCAAATTTCAATACCCATTTTGTCAATTTCCACAACATAGGTAATGATAAAATCTATTTATCAATATACCCATTACATATTACACCCTAGGTTGTAAATAAACTCGAGTAAGAAGGAACCCTATCTCTTGAAGCGTAAAATGACGTTGGGAAGTCCCAAGAACTCAAAACGACTTTGAATCATCACTTCCCCAAAATCTCGTTTTTCAACGTTCGGTGAAACCCGTTGTTTTTGGTATGTAGGCGTAGCCCTTGATGAGGAGATCGACCTTTCCTTTTGGCCCGAGTGAATTCGAAGCTCATGGAGTCGTAGATCGTAGAGAGAAAGTGAAAAATCCTCTCTTTTCCTTCTCTTGCTCTCAACGTTAATGGCTGGCTGAAGAAATGGGGGAAATTTTGATTTTTTCCCTATTTATACTCTTAAAATACTTGACCCACAATGCGCCACACGGTCCTTTGTTTACGAGTCCGTTTTCATCCCGAAACGATTAAATTTTGTCCCGGTTCAAATTTAAATTAATTTTATTTTAATTTGTCTTTAATTATTTCTCAACTTTTGAAATTTTATTGAAAATCTCGTTTTTGGGTCACCCGAAACTCGATCGCCTCGCAAAACGCAAAAAATTCGACAATCTCAAAATTCGATGAAATTTGACTTGGTAGCTAAATTTCACGAGACGAATCCAATGGTGAGGTCCGTTTCATCATCCGAGATCTAGAAAAATTCAAGTTCTCAATATGTACTATAACGACAAAATTACCGTTTTGCCCTGATTTACAAAAGTTTAAATTTATCGAATTTTACACAAATTTTATATTTCATTGTGCCTTCAGGCACGAGGTATTACTTGTTTATTAATATTACAACTAGAAATTTGAACTGCACATTTACAAAAACACAACAACAATTGAAATTAATTCAATTTTCATCCAATTTCATCTAACTATACAAACGTCATTTCAAAAAAAAAAAAAAAAAATTCACCCAAAAACATCATAGTCTCTGTGCGATCCTCAATATCAAACAACCCAACTAACACACTTCTAAATATCAAATAACCTTACTAATTCACATGTACCTCTCTCTTCTTTCTTTCCTACCTCTATCATTTTCTCTTTGTTTATTTAACTTTTTAATTATGCAGTAAAAAAAATAATAAATTACTATTTAAAAGTTTTTCCCAAAAAAAAAAAAAAAACTCATTTTCCAGTGTCAAATTCATAAACGCACAATATAAGAGCAAGAACAAAGATCACGATGGAGCACTCAAACTATGATAACCCTCAACATGTTATTTTTTGATATTATAATATCCCATAAATTTATGACACATGCCCACATTATAAAAGGATAAGTCGTATGAGTCATCAAATGATATAGCAGTGGTATAAACAACAGTGCCACGACAACATTCTAATGCTACAACAGGCATCAACACTGTGACAGGCACCCAACTTGTTGACAACGCCTAGTACCTTATAAAGACGGAACACATTCTCATCACATTGAAAGTAGCAAAATGACATCACAAGAGTCAAGAAGCAACTTTGGCGTAACTCGCCTCCCTCCACTATAAAAATAAGACACAAAGTTAGGGCTTCATAGCTGACGGAATTAGTATCCACATCCTACTAGATATTGTTGCTCGATTGACCCCTTAGATTAAAAGGAGGGATCTCTACTAGGACGGGACAATATGGTCCTCCTCAAGAAAAAATTGAGCAACGGGAGGCGAAAGAGCATAATTGTCAACCTCGGTCTGGGGTAAGGTCTCGAACATTTAGTTTGCTTGAGCAGACCTTTTAATGTATGACTCATTACGCACTGGGATGTGCTTGACTGGGATCTAGAGAGCCTTTTAAGGTAACTAAAGTAATTGATTCGAATCAACATCTGAAAGAATGAGATATGTGGATTGATGGCTGAATGACCAAAACTATGTGGGTTTTCTCTATAGGGCACTTTGACAAAAGTCTCGAGGAAGAGTCCAGATAAGGAAATAAGGACCCCGAATAGAAGCGTGCCGAAATTGCAAATATGACCCTCTCGAGGTCATGATCCCGCGATGACTAGTCGTAGTCATTGACCTTAGGAGCCCCCTTTTGCCCTAGTTGTTGCATCCCTCCCTAGGGGTCACATGTAAGCTGCATTTGAAGAAACACCACATTTGTCTAATTAATGTTGGGGCACGTGACTCGTGCTTAGCTAGTGAGAGCATTTACTCCACCTCCCTTTCGTTAACAGACTACTCGAATTTCTTCTATTCCATCTACTTATCCTATTCATCTTTTTTGATGATTTTTAACATAGACATGTGTGTTAGTTTTTTTTAATTCTCTAACTAAATATCTTAAATTAAAAATTAAAATAACGATTACAATTTAAATTTAGTGAGTTTACCATAAACTGGATCATTTGAGATCGATGATTCTAATAGTTTAGAATCAATTCTAATTTAAATTTACTTCTATCATTACCATTTACCACGCTAAATTAATTTCAAATGTACCAAACTTTTGGAAGCGACCAACTTTAAAGTTTAAACTCAATCATAACTAATACACAGCAAAATTTGGAGGCCGTGCCATAATTTCTCAATAATATCAGGACCAACTTAGCAAATGTAGGGAATCTTTCTCCTCGATCATTTCTCCAGTGTTTTGCAGAGCACGCCTCTCTCTCTCTCTCTCTCTCTCTAGACTGTTATGGCCTTACCTCAACACCAGTTTCAACACCACATTCAACCACGACAACAACCACCACCTAAACCATCCAGGTAAAAAAGGCACAAAAGTTGATTTTTTTCTCCAAAACCCTAATTTTTTTTCTCCTTTGTTCATCCCATGATCTCATATTTTGTTGCCTTTTTTGTTGCATTTATAGAGATTTGTACAGCATGGATGCTCAGATTTCACCACCGGTCACATATTTCAACGGTCCAAATCCTCCCGATCAATCTCAACACCCACCATACATACCTCCCTGTAGTCTCTCTCTCTCTCTCTCTGTATCTCTATCTATTTGAAGCTATTTTTTCTCATTTGTTTTGGGTTTTTCTTGGTCCAGTTCACGTGGTGGGGTTAGCACCGGGTCCGGCAGACGGGAACGATAGTGGGCTCGATTTTCAGTGGAATTACGGCTTGGAACCGCAGAAAAAGAGGCCAAAAGAGCAAGATTTCATGGAAAACCATTCACAAATATCATCTATTGATTTCTGGCAGGCCCGATCGGTGTCGACTGGGTTAGGCTTGTCTTTGGACAATGGGCGTTTGGCTTCGTCCGGTGATTCTCCTTTGCTTGGTCTCGTTGGTGATGACATTGAGCGTGAGTTGCAGAGACAGGACGCTGACATTGATAGATACATCAAAGTTGAGGTCTTTTTTCTATACATACACTCTATTGTCATAGTTAATTAGATTTACAAAGTTACTGTTTTCTTTGATCGTCTATGTGTTTCAATTGGGTGTACAGAGGTAATGATTGCTTTGCTGTTTCTTTGGTTTTTGAATGATAGCTGGTGGGTTTTCTTACTTTATACATGAATCGACTCTAAGTGGTTCACCAACTACTTTTGAATCACCGAGCCCCCCAAAAAATTGAGAGTTTGTTGCATTTTCACCTGTATTTTGAAATGGGATTGGTCCTAAGATATTCATTCAATGATTAATGCCCTTGTAGAAGACAATTGTATCCAATGGAATATTTATATCTTTGCTCGATTAGGGTAACATCTCCACATCCCCTGAACCTATTTGCATTAAACTGCTTTATCAAACTTGATATTCTTAGACAGGATATGAACATTCTTTGAATTTGTATAGCTGAACTGCTTTGCTTTTCAAATTTGACATGTAGATATGCCAGTGTTAGATTTCATGCAAACCAAGCAACTTTGGAGTTGCATTTTATGCTAGCTATGCTAATTAGGGAAGTCATGTCGTTGGACTCTTATGCAAGTGCACGAGTTTCCAAGTGCAGCTAAGGTCAGGCCACACTATATTGGGAAGGTGGAAGTAATATCTAGATATATTGCACTTTCTGAATAGTTAAGCAGGGAAATTCAGTTATCTGCTTTATTTGGTAGCATGAAGTTGTCTTGAAATAGATGATTGGGGCATCATTAAATAGTTTATTGCTTGTTTTGCTCTTGAAGGGTGACCGGCTAAGTCAAGGAATCCTAGAGAAAGTTCAGGTCAACCAACTTCAAACTATCTCATACATTGAAGAAAAAGTCCTCTCAAGACTCCGTGAGAAAGAGGTAGAGGTGGAAGACATCAACAAAAAGAATATGGAGCTTGAATTGCGAATGGAACGGTTGGCTGCAGAGGCCAGTGCTTGGCAGCAAAGGGCCAAGTACAATGACAACATGATCAACATCCTTAAAATCAATCTTCAGCAAGTTTATGCACAGAGCAGAGATAGTAAAGAAGGGTGTGGTGACAGTGAGGTAGATGATACTGCCTCTTGCTACGATGGTCGTGCCATCGATTTCCACGTGCTTTGCAAGGATAGCAATGAAATGAGGGAGTTGATGACTTGTAAGGTTTGTAGAATCAACGAAGTATGCATGCTTTTGTTACCATGTAAGCATCTCTGCTTGTGTAAAGAATGTGAAATTAAACTCAGTCTTTGTCCATTGTGTCAGGCCTCGAAGTATATAGGCATGGAGGTCTATATGTAATAGGATAATGAACATCTAATGTCATCTTCTTCTAATTTCATGTCAACCTACACTTGTTCTTGTTGTTGTCTTCTATCATTGCTCCCGTTTTTCTGGTCTTGGGTTGTTGTTTGCTGTTTTAGCACCTCTATATTTCCTACATTTCTGTGGACCATGTCTTTCATGTCTGTGGATTTTTTCTATTTTTATCGATAATCTCCTATGGATGACAGAATATGCTTGCTTCGATTTCGTGCCATATGATTGCTTTGGTGAACTAGGGATTCTTTCAGTTTCCGAAAATCAAGCTATTGACTAACATATGCATTATACAGTTTCTCAATGTGAATATATATTTAATGTATAGCATTGAATTTTACCGAGCTATTCAGAGGGAAGGGGCATAAAAGAAACTAGAGCAGAAAATAGGTGCCAGATGATTTATCAGTAATGTGAGGTAAGAAGAAAAGAACCAAAAGGAGTTGGAGGATGTTGAAGAAGAAAACACATGCCCGTTTATTTCTATCTTGCTCAAAATCTGTGATATTAGTGAGCTTGTGCAATCATTGCTGACCCATAATAAAGAAAAAAGAAAACCCAAGGAAAAGAGCTAGAAACTGTCAACAAGGAGGATTTCTGTTTTAATATCTTGCTTTTAAAATAAAATTATATATAATATTATGCTTAATGTGTCTAACAAGGAAGCCCTGCTCATTTTTGTAAAATGGAATGCACGAGTGCCTTGAGAGTGAATCCAGAGTGCATTGATATTGAATAACTGACAGTCGATTTGCTTATAGGCAGGAAGTTTGCAAAACCTGCTTATACCAAGCCCAGGAGCGTAGCTGTTTAGTACTTAATTATTATTACTTGTAGTGGATTTTCTTAGCAATCTTCTGTAGGTAATTAACAAAAATCAAAGCCAATCATGCGCCTGTAGGGATGACAGGAACGGATTTTTTAGGGTGCTATGTTCTTTTCTTATGTGGATTTGATTTTCTTTTCTCTCTTTTTATGCTGCTTTCTGATACAAAGCTTCTGGGATTGCAGACTGGTTAAATGCTATTTAGTACTATAGTCAGGGAAATCAATTGTGATCTACTTGATCATATTCTAACTTTCAACGTAACAATCTAGTATATGTAGACCACTACTTTCAAACATATTTAGGTACTCCAACTTCAGTTCGAATCAAGAGAACTGTTTACAGGATATCAAAGTGTGAACAGCTCTTTGCATATTTCGCAAGGTGTTAAATGTTTAGTGTTAATATACTATATAAACTACTGTCTGTCAGCATTATATCCACGACATCACCGGTTCCAACTTACTACACTATGACATCTTGCCTGATTATTGTAATCGTGATTATTCTCATGTGCATCTATGTTGTTGGTAGCTGTTGGAGACGACTACTACCTATGAATGATAAATGTAAGGGAAAAATTCTCTCACACTCCTACTTCACAGAAATATCACTAAACCTCCATTTTGAGCTTTCACATGAATGTTCTCTTCCTGGTGGTTGATTAGCGGTATTTTTTTTGATCTTTCACATGAATGTTCTCTTCCTGGTGGTTGATTAGAGGTATTTAGGACCACAAAAGTTGCTTATTAACCTCTTTGACAGGAGACTTCTGCTGGGACTGATACTCAAGCAATTTATGGGTAGTTGCTCCGGTGAACCTTATGTAGTATTTTTTCAGTGTCTAGCTGAGAATAGTTCTGTAAGCGTTGCTTGAGAGGGGTGAGGGTCACTTATGGTGCTCCCCTCCCCCCAACTCTCCCCTCTTCTCCTCTCCTCTCTCTCCTCCGTTTAAGAAGCCTTTGTGGGGAGAGATATAAGAATCTCCATCTGACAAATGTTGATGGTGAGCTCAAAAGCCCTATATTATACGTGCATCATGGACCAAACTCTGTGCGGCCTATTGTGCTTGTAACTGCAACTCATTATGTTTCTTATTTCTTTAAATTGATGCTTACTTTCATTCTTACTTGTCCAAACACAATAATACTTTGTCTTACACTATTTGCACATTAATGACCCACTAACAATCTTTATTAACACACCTCAATAACATAATAAAACTCTAAAACAAGTTTATTTTTCAACAAACATCAGAATATATTTGCAAACTTGGCCAGCTCAAACATATTGTTGTGCAGTTCATTGATGTTTTCTTGTTCTAGATGTTCTGTGGTCAGACAATCCAATCAAGATCCCCAAACTTCTATAGTAGTCGAAACAACTATAGGACTCCTCACTCTGTGCTTACCGTTATCTTCAACCCAAATTATAGAACCAAATGTATTAGTTCCATTCTCGTCAGCTGAATAATGGATAGTCAAAAAGTAGCTCTGTTTTTCATACTTCTTCCCAAACACCATTTTGTCTGGTGATACTGTGACTACAGAGCCTTTTGGCGCGGTCACCTCAGCCTTATAGGTTGCTGCACCATCCCCTACATTTGTGACAGTCCGTTGAAATTTCTGGACAAATATGCCCATGGCTCCGTAAGTGTACAAAGCGATAAATGATGGATAGTTCAGATCAGAAGATGAGGTCAAGCAAGGATAACTGTTTGATCTGGTGATGGTTAAGATTTGATTCTGAGTGAAATTCAAGGAGCAAAGGAGATCAACATAGTCTTGTGGAGTAACATCATATATAAGACCTGGATCAAGCGCACGGTTTGGATCAACTTGACCAGCTCCCATGGCTAGAGGTGTAGCGATTTCTAAATCTAGGGCGTTGTCTTTGATAGGATTTTGTGTATTATCAAATGGATTTGCTGTGGTCATGATGGCGGACCGAATAGCTGCAGGACTCCATTTGGGGTGTACACCTTTGAGGAGTGCGGCAATGCCAGCCGCATGAGGACAAGCCATGGATGTACCTGTGATGACATTGAAATCACTAGCCACAAAGATATTGGAATCAATTTGAGCTGCAACAACATTCGGACTCCAAGCGGCTAAGACCAATGTCCCTGGTGCCATTACATCTGGCTTCAGGATGCCCGGATAGCTTGGTGAAGGACCTCTTGAAGTGTACGAAGCAACAACCGGTGCAGTTTTTGTGCCAATAAAGGTCTGTTGGAACTTAATGCTAGCTGAAGCTTCATAAATACCAGCAGTTAAAGCATAATTGATCACCTTTTGTCCGTCCGTCGAGCTAATCACTACTCCAGGATAAGGAAAAAAATTATACTCAAAAATGGTAGGATTGTCAGATATGAAGATACCTGCACGAAAACGTGAAGCAGCAATATTGGCTATTTGTTCCCTGAATCCCCAAGTGTTATCGCATATGATGATTTCATTTGGCTCTCCGTTCAACATCTCAGTTGAATTACAAGCAGATATGGTTTTGTTGTAAACGAGCCGCAAATTTTCCACTACGGCTCGTGCAGGGAACATGGACCAGCCAGTGACGATTAACCCATTCCCCAAAGTTAAGATCCCAGCAAACCAACGATCTATTGAGCCTGCTGCGACGGTTAGGACCCATGGATTCCCATTGTTTAATCTTCCAGTTCGTAAGCCCATATTTCCTGCTGAACAAGAAACAAACACACCCTTCTCCATGGCACCAAATGAAGCTATCGCAATAGAATCCTCATACAAAGGAATATATCGAAATCCCAAAGAAATTGATATTACATCGACACCATCAGCAACAGCCTGGTCTATACCAGCAATAACGTCAGAATCTTGGGTTCCTGCTGCCAGCCAGGTGACCTTATAAATGGCTAGCCTAGCACGTGGGGCAACCCCTCTTGCTGTCCCCAAAGCGTAGCCAAAAAATGAGGCACCTTCAACATAATTTCCAGCAACTGTAGATGAAGTGTGCGTGCCGTGACCATTTATATCCCTTGCTGAATTCATAGACAGGACAAGGTCAGGATTTGCAGCTATAACTCCCTTGTTGAAGTATCTAGCTCCAATGAGTTTTTTGTTACACAACGAAGAATTGAACTCTTGTCCATCCTCGCACGTCCCCTTCCATTTTGATGGAATTTTTGTCATTCCATCATCTCGAAAGCTTGGACTTTCTGGCCAGACACCGGAGTCAATAACACCCACTATAACATCTTTGCCATACTTTGAAGCCGGCCACAGCCCTGTGGTAGAACTGAGGGAGAGGAATTCAAAGGTGTGGGTTGTGTCAAGAGTGGCAAGGCTATCACTGTAAGCTGAAAGAAACCCTGGAGACCTCTTCACAGCCTGGAGTTCATCTTGAGAAAGGACTGCACTGAAACCATGAACTGCATTGCTGTAAGTGTAGAGAAGAATTGGTTTGGAATGATGGCCATCTGATGATGATGGTCCCATAGGTTTAATGGAATCGACAATGGAGGAGTACCAGTGGTGGTGGCTAGCTAAAGCTTTGGGCATGAAAGTTGTGTCCATGTGGACTATGTAAGTAGACCTCTCTGCTGAAATTGAACCAGCATGAAGAACAAAAAGAAACCATCCATACAATAACATCAGAGAAACCCTTTCAGACAACTCCATTCTTCTTTTCTTTACAGAGCTTTTGCAAGAACACCACATCTGTGTGAACTATGAATTGACTAATATATGCATACATGTGTGCTTAAATTTACCTTGGGTCAACTAAACTTTTCTGGGCCTGTCATTTTCTTGGTGTAATCCGCTAGCTGTAATCTGTTTGAAAAAAGAAAAAAAGCTAGCTGTAACGTAGGAACCTATATCAAATCTCTCTACTTTGCTTTAGTGACCAGTGGCTGATTGAGAATTTCATGTTTGGTGGGGACAATTATAGACAGATCTTATCTTTGCTTGCTATCATGCTATGCATCCCTGCCATCTTTCTTGACTTTTGTAGGTTTTGTTATGGGATCGAAATATTATTATTTTTATTTAATAAAAATATATTACGTATTAAATTATTATATTTCATTATTTTGTTAATCAATAGTTCTTTTTTTAATCATGTTAATCAATAGTTAAAAAGTATTGAAAAGAGTACATTGCCATAACCTTGTCAGCACCATCACTTGAAGAAGCCTGAGTCTGAGATACCATACAAAGGAACAACACACATAATCTAAGTATGAACACAGAGACTTGCTTATGAGAAGCCATTTCTCATATAACTCCATGCGATGAGTTTTCCTTTTAGTGTTTGTGTATGTACTGTGTGATCTTTACGTTTTTTTCTCGGTGGAAACAGTTTGATCCTTAATGATGTGAGAACAATGTCCTTAATTCATCAAAGTAACACTTTTTATGGGTCTTTTTTTATCCCTTTTTTTTAACAAGCTTTCTGAACTTTTCTTTTTCTCTCAGTTGGATTCAGCTTGACGTTGTCAAAAACCCATCAAAACTGATGCTTCAATTTATTGCTTCAGCGACCACAATTATTCCCTTATAATCAACACAGAGCAGATACCGAGTGGGAGTAGTCCGGTTGCTGTTGGCCGAACTTCTCGTAGGTTGAATATTCGAGTCTTTGACTCTATATTGGAATTTAGTTGTTGACTCCTATACTAGCCTAATAAAGTTTGTTTTCAAATGGTGTAACGAGAGCGATCAGAGGCCTCATGATCTCATAAGTGAGAACTTATTGTAGTGATTTTTAGGTGTTTTCTTTTATTCCCACCTTTGTTTTTATGTTCAATCAAAAAAAGGTAAATCGGTAATTATGATTGTCAAAATTGAGATGTTGAATTTAAATTTAAAAGCTTATGCGACACTTTGACATATAAAATTTATCTCTTTCACCTCGTTACTCCAACAGACATGTCAAAATAATTTATTTTACTCCATCTTTATCTTTATCTTTTGCTACATCAAGAAAATAATGCTTAATAAAGAATTTGATATACCAAAATTAATATATCAAATTTAACATAATGCCAACTAGACATTTGAGATACCGGTTCGATAGAAAGCAATAGCCAAATGTTGCCATTGAGAACTTTAAGTGGCATTTAAGATGCCACTTGAAGTTGCTCTCAAGCTATGTGGGTCAGCGGTGCTCAAACTCCCATTAAGGGTCTTTATTAAGGCCCAAAAAAAGATACCTCTCAAGTTTGATCCGACTTGCAAGTTTGTTCATGATGTTTCACGATATGAGACACTAATTTAACTAAATTAATTTTTTTATTTTGATCAATTTTATTTTCGTATTCAAATGTCGGATTATGTTTTTTTCATTGATACTGCCTGCATATATCATTGTCTGGCTGAGCTTTTAACATCAATGCAGTTAATGAGATTGCGACCCTCCACCAAAGAATAAAGCTCTGAAGCACCTAGAGTCGGTAAGATCATTGTTGGGAAGTCTAAATGCATGGTAGTTCGGGTATAATATGAGTTGAGATTGAATAAATAATTTTATTTTTATCTATGATTGTTGAAATAATTAGGGAAAAGGGATCAACGGTTTATATTCAGGTACTTTTTAGGCTTTAGATATAATTTGGATATTTTTAAGGTCAAAAGTCCATAAAAATAAAGTTTGACAAAAATATCATTAATGAAAGAGGTTGTATAATCTCATTTTTATATTTATTACCACGATTATTATTGTCTCACCATTCGCCACTCCCCCCCATTCTCACCACCACCGCCACCGCTGCCCACTATCATGACCCCCCCCAAAAAAAAAAAAACCACCCACCACCCACCACCATTAAAGGGGCATAAAAGAAATTAATGTTTCTCAATGTGAGTATGTATTTAAGGTATAGCATTGAATTTTACCGATATATTCAGAGGGAAGGGGCATAAAAGAAACTAGAGCTGAAAATATGTGCCAGATGATGTATCAGTAATGCGAGGTAAGAAGAAAAGAACCAAAAGGAGAAGGAGGATGTTGAAGAAGAAAATAGAGTAAAATACACTCTTGGTCCTCAAAACTATGCATTTAGTATTTATTTAGTCTCTAATCTTTCTATTTATGTCTATTTGGCCCTTAAGGTCTCTTAATTTGTATCTAAGTAGTCCAATCCAAAACAACTTCAGATAGCCAATGACGGTTCTGATCACACGCCAATCACGTAATTCCTAATTTTATGTCTATTTAGTCCCAGAGTGCATTGATATTCAATAACTGACGAGGTGATTTGCTTCTAGACAGGAAGTTCGCACAACCAGCTTATACCAAACCCAGGAGCCTAGCTGTTTAGTACTTAATTATTATAACTTGTAGTGGATTTTCTCAGCAATCTTCTGTATGTAGTTAACAGAAATAGAAGCTAATCATGCGTCTGTGGCATGGGTATTAATTCATTGTGGCCAAGGTTGCTTATGGTGATGACAGGAACGGATGTTTTAGGGTGCTATGTTGTTTTCTTATGTGAATTTGTTTTTCTTTTATCTCTTTTTATGCTGCTTTATGATACAAAATTTCTTGATTGTACCTAATTTTGGGGTCACAGAGTGGTTACATGCTATTTTGTACTACAGTCAAGGAAATCAATTGTGATTAGAGGTAGTTAGGACCCCAAAAGTTGCTTATTAACCTCTTTGACAGGAGACTTCTGCCGGGACTGATACTCAAGCAATTTATGGGAAGTTGCCCTGGTTAACCTTCTGTAGTATCTTTTTCAGTGTCCAGGTGAAAATAGTTTTGTAAGCGTTGCTTGACAGGGGTGAGAGTCATTTCTGGTTCCCCTCCCCCACTCTCCCCTCTTCTTCTTTCCTCTCTCTCCTCCGTTTAAGCAGTCTTTACGGCAGAGAGAGATATAAGACCTCCAGCTGAAACGTGTCGATGGTCATCCCAAAAGCCCTGTATTATATGTGCATCATGGACTAAACTCTGTGCTGTCTACTGTGCGTGTAAGGCAGCTCATTCTGTTTCTCAGTACTTTAAATTGATGCTTACTTTCATTCTTACTTGTCCAAACACAATAATACTTTGTCTTGCACTATTTGCACATTAATGACCCACTAACAATCTTTATTAACATACCTCAATAATATAATAAAACTCTAAAACAAGTTTATTTTTCAACAAACATCAGAATATATTTGCAAACTTGACCACCTCAAACATATTGTTGTGCAGTTCATTGATGTTTTCTTGTTCTAGATGTTCTGTGGTCAGACAATCCAATCAAGATCCCCAAACTTCTATAGTAGTCGAAACCACTATAGGACTCCTCACTCTGTGCTTACCATTATCTTCAACCCAAATTATAGAACCAAATGTATTAGTTCCATTCTCGTCAGCTGAATAATGGATAGTCAAAAAGTAGCTCTGTTTTTCATACTTCTTCCCAAACACCATTTTGTCTGGTGATACTGTGACTACAGAGCCTTTTGGCGCGGTCACCTCAGCCTTATAGGTTGCTGCACCATCCCCTACATTTGTGACAGTCCGTTGAAATTTCTGGACAAATATGCCCATGGCTCCGTAAGTGTACAAAGCGATAAATGATGGATAGTTCAGATCAGAAGATGAGGTCAAGCAAGGATAACTGTTTGATCTGGTGATGGTTAAGATTTGATTCTGAGTGAAATTCAAGGAGCAAAGGAGATCAACATAGTCTTGTGGAGTAACATCATATATAAGACCTGGATCAAGCGCACGGTTTGGATCAACTTGACCAGCTCCCATGGCTAGAGGTGTAGCGATTTCTAAATCTAGGGCGTTGTCTTTGATAGGATTTTGTGTATTATCAAATGGATTTGCTGTGGTCATGATGGCGGACCGAATAGCTGCAGGACTCCATTTGGGGTGTACACCTTTGAGGAGTGCGGCAATGCCAGCCGCATGAGGACAAGCCATGGATGTACCNGTTTTGTAAGCGTTGCTTGACAGGGGTGAGAGTCATTTCTGGTTCCCCTCCCCCACTCTCCCCTCTTCTTCTTTCCTCTCTCTCCTCCGTTTAAGCAGTCTTTACGGCAGAGAGAGATATAAGACCTCCAGCTGAAACGTGTCGATGGTCATCCCAAAAGCCCTGTATTATATGTGCATCATGGACTAAACTCTGTGCTGTCTACTGTGCGTGTAAGGCAGCTCATTCTGTTTCTCAGTACTTTAAATTGATGCTTACTTTCATTCTTACTTGTCCAAACACAATAATACTTTGTCTTGCACTATTTGCACATTAATGACCCACTAACAATCTTTATTAACATACCTCAATAATATAATAAAACTCTAAAACAAGTTTATTTTTCAACAAACATCAGAATATATTTGCAAACTTGACCACCTCAAACATATTGTTGTGCAGTTCATTGATGTTTTCTTGTTCTAGATGTTCTGTGGTCAGACAATCCAATCAAGATCCCCAAACTTCTATAGTAGTCGAAACAACTATAGGACTCCTCACTCTGTGCTTACCGTTATCTTCAACCCAAATTATAGAACCAAATGTATTAGTTCCATTCTCGTCAGCTGAATAATGGATAGTCAAAAAGTAGCTCTGTTTTTCATACTTCTTCCCAAACACCATTTTGTCTGGTGATACTGTGACTACAGAGCCTTTTGGCGCGGTCACCTCAGCCTTATAGGTTGCTGCACCATCCCCTACATTTGTGACAGTCCGTTGAAATTTCTGGACAAATATGCCCATGGCTCCGTAAGTGTACAAAGCGATAAATGATGGATAGTTCAGATCAGAAGATGAGGTCAAGCAAGGATAACTGTTTGATCTGGTGATGGTTAAGATTTGATTCCGAGTGAAATTCAAGGAGCAAAGGAGATCAACATAGTCTTGTGGAGTAACATCATATATAAGACCTGGATCAAGTGCACGGTTTGGATCAACTTGACCAGCTCCCATGGCTAGAGGTGTAGCGATTTCTAAATCTAGGGCGTTGTCTTTGATAGGATTTTGTGTATTATCAAATGGATTTGCTGTGGTCATGATGGCGGACCGAATAGCTGCAGGACTCCATTTGGGGTGTACACCTTTGAGGAGTGCGGCAATGCCAGCCGCATGAGGACAAGCCATGGATGTACCCGAGATGGCATTGAAATCACTAGCCACAAAGATATTGGAATCAATTTGAGCTGTATCAACATTCGGACTCCAAGCGGCTAAGACCAATGTCCCTGGTGCCATTACATCGGGCTTCAGGATGCCCGGATAGCTGGGTGAAGGACCTCTTGAAGTGTAAGCAGCAACAACCGGTGCCGTTATTGTGCCAATAAAGGTCTGTTGGAACTTAATGCTGGCCGAAGATTCATAAATACCAGCAGTTAAAGCATAATTGATCACTTTTTGTCCGTCCGTCGGGCTAATAACAACTCCAGGATAAGGAAAAAAATTGGACTCAAAAATTCTAGGATTGTCGGATATGAAGATACCTGCACGAAAACGTGAAGCGGCAATATTGGCTATTTGTTCCCTGAATTCCCCAGTGTTATCGCATATGATGATTTCATATGGCTCTCCTTTCAACATCTCAGTTGAATTACAAGCAGATATGGTTTTGTTGTAAACGAGCCGTGAATTTTCCACTACGGCCTTTGCGGGGAACATGGACCAACCTGTGACGATTAACCCATTTCCCAAAGTTAATGTCCCTGCAAACCAACGATCTATTGAGCCTGCTGCGACGGTTAGGACCCATGGATTCCCATTGTTTAATCTTCCAGTTCGTAAGCCCATATTTCCTGCTGAACAAGAAACAAACACACCCTTCTCCATGGCACCAAATGAAGCTATCGCAATAGAATCCTCATACAAAGGAATATAACGAAATCCCAAAGAAATCGATATTACATCGACNCACTATAGGACTCCTCACTCTGTGCTTACCATTATCTTCAACCCAAATTATAGAACCAAATGTATTAGTTCCATTCTCGTCAGCTGAANACGAAATCCCAAAGAAATCGATATTACATCGACACCATCGGCAACAGCCTGATCTATACCAGCAATGATGTCAGAAGCTTGGGTACTTGCTTCCTTCCAGGTGACCTTATAAATTGCTAGCCTAGCACGAGGGGCAACCCCTCTTGCTGTCCCCAGAGCATAGCCAAAAAATGAGGCACCTTCAACATAATTTCCAGCAACTGTAGATGAAGTGTGCGTGCCGTGACCATCTATATCCCTTGCTGAATTCATAGACAGGACGAGGTCAGGATTCGCAGCTATAACTCCCTTGTTGAAGTATCTAGCTCCAATGAGTTTTTTGTTACACAACGAAGAATTGAACTCTTGTCCATCCTCGCACGTCCCCTTCCATTTTGATGGAATTTTTGTCATTCCATCATCTCGAAAGCTTGGACTTTCTGGCCAGACACCGGAGTCAATAACACCCACTATAACATCTTTGCCATACTTTGAAGCCGGCCACAGCCCTGTGGTAGAACTGAGGGAGAGGAATTCAAAGGTGTGGGTTGTGTCAAGAGTGGCAAGGCTATCACTGTAAGCTGAGAGAAACCCTGGAGACCTCTTCACAGCCTGGAGTTCATCTTGAGAAAGGACTGCACTGAAACCATGAACTGCATTGCTGTAAGTGTAGAGAAGAATTGGTTTGGAATGATGGCCATCTGATGATGATGGTCCCATAGGTTTAATGGAATCGACAATGGAGGAGTACCAGTGGTGGTGGCTAGCTAAAGCTTTGGGCATGAAAGTTGTGTCCATGTGGACTATGTNTTGGTCCCATAGGTTTAATGGAATCAACAATGGAGGAGTACCAGTGGTGGTGGCTAGCTAAAGCTTTGGGCATGAAAGTTGTGTCCATGTGGACTATGTAAGTAGACCTCTCTGCTGAAATTGAACCAGCATGAAGAACGAAAAGAAACCATCCAAACATTAACATCAGAGGAACCCTTTCAGACAGCTCTATTCTTCTTTTCTTTACAAAACTTTTGCTATGACACCCTATATCTGTGTGAACTATGAATTGTCTATATATGCATATCGGAGTGTGCTTAAATTGACCTTGGGTCAACTAAATTTTTTTGGGTCTTTCCTTTTCTTGGTATAATCAGCTAGCTATATCCTGTTTAAAAAAGGAAACAACAAAAAAAAAAGAAGCTAGCTTTACTGGCCAGTGGCGTGCTGACTGAGAATTTCAGGTTTGTTGGGGGAGAATTTTAGGTTTGCAGGTATATAGTGAAATTTATGGTTATAATTATCAAGTTTATTTTTTAAATCTAATTTTTGAAGAGTAATATTACACTGACTAAATTTTGGGACTAAATTTAGAGCCCAAATAACATGACAGTTGATTATTTGAAGTTTTTATTGGGACCCAAATGACATGACACCAATCAAAAAAACCCAAGTCAACTGTCATGTCATTTAGGTTCTAAATTTGATCCCAAATTTGATCAATCTAGTATCAGTGATTTTGAAATCTATATAACATTATTCTAAATCTTATCTTTACTATGCATGACAGCCACCTTTCTTGAATTTTTGTAAGTTTTGTCATTGGAATGAGATCAAGTTATTATTTTTTATTAACAAAAATATATCCCATATTAAAATATTATATTTCATTAATTTTTTAATCAGTAATTAAAAATTATTGGAAAGATGAGCTGTAGTACATTGCCATAATCATACCCTTACAACCGTTACAAGTACAAATAAATGACGAGATTAAGTAATTAATTCTCGTTCAATTCATAAAATGATGTTAATAAGAGTACTATTTAAACTTATCATTGTATAAAAAGTTTAGATCAAGGTTGAGATAATATATAATTCTATAATTATAATATTAAATTTATGTTTGGATCAAATAATAGTGAATAACAAATTAAATTTACACAAAATGTAACTGTTATATGAAAATTCGACTCTAAATTTATAAGAATAATAAAATCATTGTACTTAACTTGTTAAAAATAATAATACCACCTATTACATAGTATTCATTACTATATAATATTATGAGTTAAGTGACAATAGTGAATCGGGTCAGAATTAATTAAAAATAAAATTGGATCACTATAGCCTCATTAAAATTTAATATTAGATTATTAATGAATTAAATTAATTCAATCTATCCCTTAATACCTAAACCAAACACAAGTACCCTTATGCTTGCAAGGTATTAAGGTCAACATTAACTAGTAAGATAAGGAAAAGGAAAGAGGCATAAATAGGCAAAGATCTAGAGACTTTCTTGCAAGTTTATTCATGATGTTTGACGATATGAGACACTAGTTTACCTATTTTTTTATTTTTTTTTTTATTGTTGTGAATTTGATCAATTTTAGTAATTAAATTTTTTTTCTTCGATACTGCATATATCATTGTCCGGCGCCTGAGCTGTCTTATTGACCCTGGGCACATTTTAACATCAATGCAAAGTACCTAAAGTAGGTAAGATCATTGAAGATATTGTTAGTATATGGTGTGAGTTCATTATTCTAATACCAATATCATATTTGGATGAGATATTAAATATGGTAATTTTTTTTTTGGCAAGAAAAAAAGGGGCGAAGATAAGGAAGAGCGTCCAGCGACCACCCTGATAACCCTCACCGGTGGGTTTATAACGCCTCTGACCGCGTCTGAAACACCACTCAGAACTAGACCTAACTAGGCTACCATAATGATCAATTACTAAAATCTAATGAGGACTCTAATATTCGAACTCCCAACTTTAAGGTGAAGAGTAAGACCGGTACTCTACTAAACCAACCTACTTTGTGGTATTAAATATGACATTAAGTTCAAAAGGCAAGAACACTCTACATCAAAACTCCTCTCATTTTAGATATTGCTACCAATCATACCTCATTTAATATTAATTATATGGTATTGATTTATACTAAATATAACATGTTAGATGACTTTTTAAAATCGGATCGGTATTAAAATATCTTTTGAAATAAGGGTTGTAGCTTGATTCAAACTTAATATTAAATGACGAATGGATTACTTTGGTTGAATCCTATCCTTTAATACTCATAAAAAAAAAACATACCATCAAGACACCACACAAAGCACAGACACCACTTACCACTTCAGTTACAGGAAGAACAATAACATTAATGGTGCCTGGCCCATTGGATAAGATTTTTGCTATAAAGGCGAGTTGCATCCGACAGATAGTCAAGCCACCCATGAGCATATCAGTGAAGCCAATAACTATCTATCCCAGAGCTAGCCCGTTGCTTGAAGGATCTTTCTCTCCTTTTGTATGTTTGTGTCGGTGGCGTTTGTTGAATGAATAATAAAGAAAATAAAGGGAGTCATAATGGAGGGCCCACATATTGTTATGGAAGAAAGATGAGCTTTGTATCAAAAAGTTCAGACGGTGAGTTTAGTTTGATGGCTGTTTGAATTGCGTATCGGCAAGAGACAATCGAAGGTTTTAAGGTACCCGTTTGTATATAATATATTCGTTTTGGAATCTTTTTGTAAAAAATATTTTATTTAATTATTTTTTATTGTATTCTAATTTGTATTATCGTGATATTAGAATTTTTATTGAATTTTGTTGAGTATATTGATCACATTGATATGTTTTGTGTGGATTAAGACTGGATCGGATAGCTAAAAGTTCAATGCATTGTTAACCAATAGGCCCATGAGCTGGGGTTGAGGTGAGATGATCAGTGAGGTATCAAATTTGAGTCCTGACCTCACATGGCATGTGATATGAAAAATAAAGGTTTGTTTCTTCGTATACACTGTTTGAGATCTTTTGGTGATCCTTGGTTTATTGGGTATTCGGTACCATTGGATAAACTATTCTTTGTCATATTGTATATTTTTTTATTATATTTAATATTTTCAGATGAATTTGCGAGAAAAGATTGGAAAAAAATAGCTAAAGAATTATATGTGGGCGAACATCGATATTCATTTTGTACTATTGAGTTGAGAGCTTTATTTGTTTCTGAATGTTAAATTGATAACTATATTTTATTGAGGCAATTGGTACTCTGTTAATTTTAGTTGGATGTAAATTAATGATATTTAATTGAATAATGTCTTGGGAAATCGGGGCATAACATTTAGTCTTCAAAATTCACATATGTATTAAAAAATTAATAATTTTATCAAATTCAAGTTAACTTGTAACATAATTTAATTAACTAATCATACTATTCAATAATTTTTTTTTTAATTTCAATAATCTAACACACACACACACACACACACACACATATATATATGTATGTTATAGATTAGTGCAATCGTAAATATTATGCACCACAACTTTTGGTGGATACTATCATTAGATCGCGATACAATAATGAAATAACCCAAAAATTAAATATATATACACCTACCAAATTGGATTATAAATTAAAAAAAAACGTTTAATGGCACATTAATTATGATTCGAGGTGAATTTAGGAACTATATTTAATAATTAGTTATTGTCTGTGCTTGCAGGTATAGAGTAAATAAAAAATAGTAAACAATAAACATATTTATATTTATATCCAAAATCAAATCACAAATATAGAGAAGAGATAAATGAATTTAAGCATCGGTTTGTAGTGAGGGTAAGAGGTGGTGGGCGGCAGTGGTGGTGGTAGGAGACGATGATGGTTGTGGTGGTGGTGGTGGCGGCAGCGACGACAACAACGACGGTAATAGTGGTGGCAGCAGCAGTGATGGTGGTGATGGGTGTTAATGACTGTGGTGGTGGTGGAGGCGACGAAAACAGGGATGGTAGTGGCGACAGAGATGATGGTGGCAATGGTGGTGGTGACGACGACAGTGGTGGGTGCGGCGGTGGCAGTGGCAATGGTGGTGGTGGTGGCGACGGTGGTGACGGTGATAGGGGTGGTGGTGGTAGAGGTAGTAGTGGAACGGTTTTAAATACTATTTTTTTTGAGTATTTATGAGAAATAATTTCTAAAAATACTTTTAAAAAGTCATTTCAAACACACTCTTATGGATATATTTTTTTTATTAAATTTAGGGTGTTAATATTAATCGTTAGATTAAGTTTAAAATAAATTTAAAGCGATCTCAACCGTAAATAAAAAAAATTATTTTATTTATCTTTTAAAATTTGAATTATAAGTTATTTTATTATATGAATATAATTAAGTCAAACCTTTAAAATATAAAATATAATGACTATTGGGATTCAGACCATCACGGGCCGGCTTTCGAGTCGAAGCCCAAACCAAAGGTAGCCACAGCCTGTGAGCTTGAATTTGTTGGGGGCAACAGTCCATCAATATTGATATTTGATCGGAGTTCCGATAAATAACTTTGTTATCTATTAAATGTCACCGGACTCTTTTTTTTTTAACTCAAATTTAAATTTAGATAAAAAAAAATTAATTTTTTGTTACAATTCTAGACTCGTACTCATACCAAATAAAAAAAAAATCTTTTTATAAACTTAAATTAAAGGAGACCCAAATACAATACTCAAATCCCAATGGTTAAATATCCCTAAGAGGATTCACACTCTTCTCTTCTAGCTTGTCATAATTGGAGTTGGAGTCGTCAAGCCGATCATCATTGCAGACAATGACTTGCAGAGTGGCCTTCCAGTGTCGTCGTCTTTCCCCTTCACTGGTTTTTCGAACTTGCAGAGTGACCAGTGAAGTCGGCGGTTGTGGTGATCACCTGTAGGTCTCATGGATGAACTAGATTTTTTGAACAAATATGTAAAAGAAAAGAGTATCTTGAGATAAATTGGGAATAAT